GCTCTATCCTTTACTATGTAAAAGAAAAGTGTCAAGCGTAAGGCTTCTTGTATGACTCCAGGAATTTTAAAAATGATCCTCATTTCTATAAAAGATTTTAAATGAGAGTGCAAATCTTCCGACGATAATCCTTGAAACTGACCCATTGCGGAAATCATTTGAAATATTACCGGTTTTGGTTCAAAAGTTGTTGCTGTCATTTCGGGCCTACCTATTCTTGCGGCCAACTGATCGAATTCGGGAGTTGCGTAGTCCCGTATGCCTCTATTTTTATCATCGACAATTTTAAACGTGGCCTCCTGATGAGAATTGAGATAAATTATCCTCCATGGTACGGTTTAAGTTAGGATTTTGCTGATTATTTTTACCTATTCTATGTCTTATAATGGTTCTTTCTAATTCAAGATCGAGAGGTAAAAGCTCACCATATTATAGCCTTGGCATACAATACGGAAAGTGTGATTGAAACAAATGACCAAGGCTCTAATGAAAATCAATATCTCAGGATAAAAATCCCACCAATCTCCGGCAGCAGCGCCAAAAATTTGACAGGCTAGGATCGTTCGTGTTCACACAGTGGGCACGAAGTACCCACAGTAGCGGTGCAAGTGCACGCCGACACTATGATCGCTTGCAAGTAATAAAGTGTTAAAATTCCAAGATCGTTTCCACAGGGACTGGACTACTGAGATTCAGAGACTTTCATGAACTTCTTGATCGTGTTTCAGTTTGTGAATAAAAGTTGATTTTTGTTTATAAAAATATTTAAAAGACTAAAATAGCGAAATGAACTTATAGACTAAAGAATAAGCATGGGTGTAAGTGTTCCTTAACATAAAATCAACAATAAAATGGTTAGAATCTTATGAGTTGTTTATAAAAATTCCAATCTCTCGAAAGTGAAAATTTTCAAACGGTCTCCATAAAATTTCACAAAGTTTTTACGCTCACCACTTCAAAACTTGCCGATTTAGCTAAAAAAAGAAGAAATAAAATCTATACCCAAATCTCTTTGTGATAAGAATAATCATCGCTTAATCCTTAGCTAAATACATACAAAATTCGCATCTCTACGTAATTATCAAATACTCTCTCGAGTTCTTTGTTCATCACTTAAGCCGTATTTCGGATCCGCCCATCTCTGAGTCTAAGATCTAATATTAACACTTCAAAGTGATCGACTTATTCGTGTCGAGTTTAAGTCCCGTCTTAAGTGACCAAATTTACAAAGTGGTAAAGAGTAAAAACACCCAAATATTGTATAAAAATTCTACGTTAAACTCACACCCACACTCATACGAGTAACTTAGCTCATAATAAACATAATAGAAGACAGTAAATAAGACTGAAATGTAACTTTCATTAATATAAAACTAAACTTTGTTCCCATAGTGGTGAGACTTGTTGGCAACATATTACAACTTCAATACAAAGAAAATAAAAAGCTAAGCTAAAACTAAGAGAAGAAGAGAAGAACTTCAGTTAAAATACTTCTAAAGATGAGTAAACAGAAGATAAAAGGATAATAAAGGGATGGTAAAAGGGATGATCTTCAAATGAGCCCAAGGCCTCTTTATATAGGGAAGAATTGATAAGGATAAAGCCTTTATCCAAAGAAAATTAAGTACAAATAAACTTTGGGGCAAAGACCATTAAACAACAACTTAAAATAACATAAATGTACAACTTTACAGCCAACTACAGCTGGAAGAAATCTCTGGGCAAGATCTTCAAGCAATACATCCTCCAAAAAGTAGAAAGCTAACAAAATTCGTGAATATCCCACAGTGGTGACACAGTGGCCAGTTGCCAGAAAATGCAGGTTTTCGAAATAAAAATTCTTCCTTTGTATTTCATCATCTTATTAAAACTTATAGAAATATTGGCAAAAACAAGAAAATTGGGTATTTAATAGATGCAAAAATGGAGGAAATAAATAAGAAATAACTCTCAAAATTGAGAGTTATCACACACGCTTTTTTCAAAGAGCAAAGTTGTCTCTGCTAAATCTTGAAGGTTTGTCAAGAGAGTCATTGTCGTGATAGTTGTTTGTTGTCATAGCCATTATAGAGAATAGATAGAAGAATGAAAAAGAGAAGAGACACTAACCTGATACCACTTGTTCGTCTCAAAGAATTCTACAAGAGAAAACAATTTATAGATGGGGAGAGGGTGAATACAAACACTACTTTTTCATTTTTAAATTTGTTTATTGATTAAGGAACCAATCCAAGAATTTATAGATTGTTACAGAACTAGAAAAGAAAAGTCATAATCTAAACAATAATCCAAGGAATCACATAGCTTTTCTTGCACAAAAGAAGGTAAGAGAGAAATAAGAAAAGATAGAAGGAGGCCTAGTGAGAAGTGTCTTTGAGAAGGATCTCTCAGCTATTTATACCTTATGCATTTAATGCACATTAAAAGGTGCAATCTATGTGTCAAAAGGGGAGTGGAATGCATGTCCTTGTCCATCAGATTTAGCAGTCTTTTGGCTGTATATGAACAGTTGTCTTAGAGAGTTGGTGAGCACGTTTGGAGAAAAGAAAGTAATTTGTATTGTACCATTGTCGGATTGAGGCGTGAGGTATGTACCTTCGTGCAAGAGGATAATAAAAAACAATCTTGATGCACAAGATATTGATCCACTGTTGAAGGAAACGCTGATAACTACTTCAGGTATAACTAATAAATGGTTAAGATTTCACATTTAATTTAGTCTATCTTTATCTTCGCAACTTTTTTGACGTCGCTAAAGTTTTCTTTGATGTGATTTTGTCTTTTAAAACACTTATGCTCTAATACAGATACAATACATGTTCAACGATCACTTAACAAACTCAAATACAAACTAATCGCTGAAACTAAAATACAAATTAAAGCTTTCACTAAGTAAATGATCATTACTGAGAGAGTTTGGATCAACAGTTAGGCTCAAACGATAACAATAACTAATAAGAGAATAAGAAAACGGTTGAATGACATGCAATTTTACACTAAAAGTATGTATAAAATCACTTATGATTCACGCGACTTTGATCACAACCTAAGGTTGCAGACTACATCACCTGCACACCTTTTTGTCAATCGTTAATGTTAAATCACGTGAGATTTTACACGTTATTTGGTCGTTTTCGTATTCTCTTATTTGAATAATGTTATCGCTTAAACCTTGATATATATATATATATATATATATATATATATATATATATATATATATATATATATATATATA